GAATAGACTTAGGTCTGCCCAGCCTAAGTAGACCGTGGGCAATAGAACACTAACATGACTTTGATCTAGCTTAGAAGGTTTTTTATCACAGTCTTCTATGCTTGGCCAGAGAATTCTAATCTCGGCTGCATATGGTCTGCTAAGGCCTTGGAGAATATATCTTAGTTTTGTTGACTGTCTTGGGCTTTTGTCTGCTAGGGTACATTTCCCGGTGAGGTCTACATTGTGGTCCTTAGCTGGGCCTAGAAATTGCTCTCTCCTCACTGACCAGTTGGAAAGGAACCCTCCTTAGGAAGCGACTGGGTATCTCTCAAGCTGTTTGTGCGTGCACGCGTGCACCCTCATGTAACACTTGAACTTGGAAAAGTTACATTTTTGGACCAAGGCTTTAAGAATCCTATGATCAACGCTGGCTGGAGGATTCCCGAAGCTGTTGTCCAGAATGTTCACAGGCACTGGAAGCCTATCTGTGCCTCCACATTCTATGGAGACAGGCAGCAAATGTTTGATGTGTGTCTAACATCTGTGGCTTGTTGTGTAACCTGGGAATAATGCGTCAGAGCCTTCGGGAAGATATTATTGTATGCTTAGCCTGAGTATTGTGATTTTTTTTTTAATTGCAACCCTTATGACTGGAAATCTTTGCAATTAAGATGCTCTTCTGCTCTGTGCTCCATTATTTTGGTAGCAGGAGTCTGTGTTTATCTGGTCTATTTACGCAGTGTCTTCTCTTTTATCTATTTTGCACCAAAATCTTGAAAGGCTTTTGAAAAGAGAAGCCATTTCCGGTGATTGCTGGACTTTGTTTCACTTCCTCTAGATTCCCTCTCTCTGCGCCATACCCAAATATCAGCCAGGACTGTCAACTTCCGTTTCAGAGGCTCTATAAATCCATCTTGGGCTTTATCCCGGACTTTAAGAGAGTTGGTGGCCAGGCCAAACCTATTTTGGGGGTAGCTTTCAGCACCTCGGAGAGCTCCTGGAAAGGACAGACTACTAAAAAGTGGCACAAATTCCCAGCACCTCCCAAATAGGAATCCCAGGCTCACCACCGCTGCCGAAAATGGTATGGGATTTTCCTCTGGATCCCTACTGAGCCACTTCCGTTTTCACCCAGTCCCATCCCAATCAGCAAGCTTGTTTCACTCGCAGAAGCAGGAGGCCCAAAAGGTTTTGTCTGCTGGGCAAAATGAGGGTGCCGTGCCATCACATCAGATCAGTGGAAAGATCGTCCGCAGCTTTCTGGCCACAAAGATTTCCTTTTCATGTTGCAGCACAGAGGAGAGGTTCAAACAGGAATGGCCGTTCTGGGCAGCGGGCCTCTTACAGCAAAGGAGGAATGTTTTATGGCAGCCTCCGTTGTCTCTTTGGTTGCTGTTACTCATGGGATTCCAGGGTAGAGAAGGTTTTTCTGATCTCTAGAAATTCCTGGAATACTGGGAGTTAACTGGACCAAGAAGAGGTCATGTCTAGTTGTCTCTCTGACTTGCGGATCTCCTTGCTCTTGCTCCTTGAGAAATCCATGGGCTTCCCTTAAGGAGTTGTATTCAGAATGAGGATCTTGCGTGATGGCTGGTACGACAGATTTTTTTGTCCAGCGACTTGTTGATGCCATGTTGTGGGGTTAGAAATGCCAAGTGCTCGCCCAGGTGCCCACCAATACTTGGTTGGGTTACTCGTCGGCCCTTTTCTGTACTTGCCACCAAACAAAACAGACAGACAGACAGACCCAGGTTCTTTGATTTGGACAGAGGGCCAGAAGGAGAGGCCAGCGTTTTCTTCAGATCCTTCCTTGCTCCGTAGCTCCATCTATCTGCCTGGCCTTTGGGCATTCTTCTTGACAAGAGAAGCCAGGTCACTTGCTCTGCCTGACTGGCAGACGGATTCACGGACGCTTGGCCCCGCTGTTTTGGCTTTGATGGCCATCTTCTGCTTTGGAAGCTCCTTACCTTTCTTGGAATCTGTGGCATCAAACAGGGGTTTCCGTCCCGTGACATGAACCCAAAGTGTTAGGGATTTGCTGGCATCTTCTTAGGCTTTCCAAGGGAAAGAGTGCAAAATTTCAGCATGAGGGGCCTGACTGGAGAAAGGCCAGTCTTTTTTTAAAGAAAAAAGCACCATCTATACCCATCAGACTTTACTCAAAGAGCTTGGAAAAGTAACTTTCTCAGACAACAGTTCCCAGAACCCAGTAGCCAGATGCGTTGAGGATTCTGGGCTCTGTAGTCCAAAAAGAAACTTCTCCAAGATATACCTTGGCTTCGCCACTAACTAATCAGGCCATGTTCCATGGTATTAGACTCTCTCTCTCCATCCATGTTTATCGTGCTTTGAATTTTCTTTAGTCATGACAGAATTTGTGTGTAGTCTTCATTAATTGTTCATTAACTCGCCAGTGCTGGCTCTTAGGGTTCATGATCTTGATTGCACTGATTTTTTTTTATTTTTATTGTTTTGGTGCTTTTTAAAGATGCATGTTTTGTTAAAAGGAGGTTTGGGGCTACACTATTTATGGTGCAGGGTTTATTTATTATTTGCACATCATTGGGGAATGTCGTCTATGGAACTGTTGACCTGATTGATTTTAGCTTTGAGAGCTGCCTTTGGCGTTCCCCAAAAAGTTTGCCCATGCCTTTCTACACTACATAGAATTCTGGGTAATAAAATTCTAGGCAGCTGTTGGGAATTCTGCCCCATCATTTCCTAGAGGCTACACGGAATTAAAACTCCCAGCAACTGGAAGGCTTTATCATTCAACCCAATGTAGCCTCATGAGCCCTTGTCCTCAGTTACATTATTCCCCCAGGCTACATGGCTTCTAGATCCAGATCTTTCTTAGCCGTGCTAGGATTGTGTGCTTTGTTAAGGCTGCTTCCTTTTGGAAAGAGAGAGCTATCTCCCATCAAATTTTAGCGGCAAAGTCTCGTCAACGTTGTTACAGTAGGTTGCCCTAAGCTTGGGTTATTGCCTTGTTTCTTATCTCTTTCCCCCTTTGTTCTCAGACCAACTCTTGCACTTATTTCTGAGGGATGCAGACGAGTTGCGGATTTGCTGAGTCTCCTACTCTACATTGTCTTCTGAAGCTTTGGTTGACAGGGCAGTCAAGTGTAAATGTTCATGTCCAACAGAACATCTCATGCGTCCCCTGTCTCTTTAGGACTTAGGAGATCGGAGGAAATGAGGGTGCCTACCGTCATGGATGGGTGCCAAATCCTTACTGTGTTTACTGGTATGCTCGTTGGCCCAGTTTCCCCTCTGTAGAATCTGCCTCCATCCAACAATAGCTTTGGAAGCTAGCCTTTAAGAAGGCTTTGCTAGCTTGGGTTTTGAAAGGCAAAGTCTTTCAGGAGGTTCCTTGTTCGTTTCTTGGATCCATGAGCAAGGGATCCTTATTCCACAATAAGGTGGTTGGCTAAGTTTTCAGAGCCTCATTCGCACAGCACTGTCAGTATTTTCTGTAATTCTTCTCCAACTCTTAAGAACGCAAAGCCTTTTAATTAATCTCCTTAATCTTAGCTGCTAGGGCTGTGGTTCGCAACAAGAACATCTGGGGGGGGGCAAGGTTGGGAATCACTACGCTAGGGAGTTGTAGAGAGAACAGATTTGATTACGATTCTGGCGAAACCCCTTGGCCCGGGGGCCATGAGTTTGAGGAAATTACTTCTTGGGCTGCAGTTCCATCCAGAGCATTCTTACCCTGAGAAGTAACTTTTCCAGACTCCACTGCTGCAGATGCCACATCTGGGGGGCCCAAGGTTGGGAACCACTACGCTAGGGAGTTGTAGAGAGAGCAGATTTGATTGCAATTCTGGCGAAACTTCTTGGCCCGGGGGCCATGAGTTTGCAGAAATTACTTCTTGGGCTGCAGTTCCATCTAGAGCATTCTTACCCGGAGAAGTAACTTTTCCAGACTCCACTGTTGCAGATGCCGCCAACTGAAGATAAGGGTGTATCTCAGTTCCAAGGGGTTAGCCCCCCAAATCTTCTCGAGGAAGAATGTAGAAAGCTTGTAGTTGACTTGCCAAAGAAAGTCCCATGGTAGAATGTCTTTCGCTTCCCTGCTGGAACGTTGAGCCTGATTGTATGCATCTCATTCCCCGTCCCAAGCACTCCGGGGTGCCTTGTGCTAGCAGGGCTTGGACACCTGGATTTAGTAACCCTACACCTTGGCAGCATATAGATTTTCCCCCCGCCCAACCCCTATAAGTTATCTCCATAATTTACCAGGAGTAACATGGGTTTACATGTTACAGCCAATAGAAAAATGGATGGTGCATCTTTTAGGGAGAACTGCTGTTTGATTGTATTTGGGGGGGGAGCGGGGTTTGAACATTTCTTGAATGTGGCACTCTGTTTTTAAGTGCACTGCTGTCTGTATTATCTTCCTCTCCGATATTTAACTGGCATATTGATGTCTTGACCTTTTCCTAAGAAGAACTGCTGCAACCTCTTGGTGTTTTTCTTTCCGAAGTGGGGAAATTCTGACTATGTTAGCAAAT